CAGGGAATGCAGCCCATGGGACTGAGTCACATTAAACCCGGAGGCACTTGAGTCCTGGAGCCCAGATCGGAAGGAGCCTTACTGCTAATCAGCTCAGTGTGCTTATTTACTCTCCCGCTGGGAGAAGCTTCTGGATTCTTGCCTCCCTCCCACAGGCCCAGGCCAGTCAGTGTGCATGTGGTTCGTCCCAGGCCAGGGCTGCTGAGAAAGGTCCCTGTCCACACGGACGTGGTGGTCAGCAGCGCGCCAAGGAAATGTTGAGTTAGGGTCCTTTCTTCAGGCAAATGGCTCATGGGGAAAGTCTCTTCCCCCTGGTTTCCCCCAGAGTGAACCGATTCCATAGCTTCTGCCTGTTCGCACTGGCATCTGGCAGAGCCTGGGGAAGGTGTGGCGGGAGCCCGGCGGGGTGTAGGTTCCTGTCCCCGAGAGTGGAGCCCGCCGGGCGCAGAGCCTGTCTTTCCCAAGGCCATGAGCCCAGGCTGTGAGTCTGTTTCCTGCCCGAGCTGTGGGCAAGCTCTTTCCTCTCCATTGGGTCTGCCAGGGCCGGTCCTGTGAGCCACGGAGGGCAGGGACACCTGCCTATGACCAGACAGAGCTCTCCTGACACCTTTTGAGCCCCTAGGTTGAGCCCACAGGGTGGACTTTTCAGCCCTGTGATCCCATAACCTTCGAGCTGGGCGTGTCCCTTGCAGGACAGTGCCTGGTGGTGGCAGGTGCTCGGTGGCTCTGAGAAGGACATGCCATCCTGCCCAAAGCCTCCTGCTCCATTGGGGACTCAGAGAAGACCCCCTGAAGGAGGAGACACTGTGGCAGAGAAGGTTGAGCAGGAGCTGGGACAGGAAGAAGAGGGGGTGGCCAAGGTGGCCCCTGTGGCTTTAGCTCCCATGCTGTGCCTGTGGCACCTGCTCTGCCTGGCACCTGCTTCCTGGTGAGTGAAGAGACAACCACGACACTGGCAGGACTCTGCCCTGTCCCCAGCCGCACACCAGAGGTGCCCTTGGCCCTCCACTCCCTCTCCCAGCCCCCAGAGGGATGTCCTGGTCACCCACCCTCCCCGCCCTACAGGACAGTGACCTTGGGTGGGGTGAGGCTTCTGGAGAGCCGGTTTGTTCTCCGTGAGGAGGGTTATGGCCGCACAGCGGGCCGGAGGGCTCCAACCCAAACAAGCCTCATTCCTCTGAACACAATGAGGCTGTTGTGGCCCGTGGAAGAGCTTTCTTCCTGTGCGTGTCCCATTTTAGTGTTTTCTTTGACCTGGAAAGAAAGACTTTACCTCCATCGCCGTGTAAAGCTCAGACCCCAAGCTGCGTGGTTGGCACAGGTCCCACGGAGACACAGAGACCGAGACTCACAGGGTCCCAGGGATCCTGGGCCTGAGCCCCCAGCCAGGCCTCTTACTTTATTCCCATGAGGCCTCAGGGTCCCCTTTATTTTGCTCCCTGATGGCTCCCTCCCTCCTGTGTGGGTTCCCACAGTGGATTCTGGGGAACCAGGGACCAGAACTCCAGCTGTCCTGTCTCACCTGGCCCATGTCCACTCTGCCCTCTGCTCCCTGTACTCCGGTCCCCACGGGCCCCACCAGGCCACACCACCTCCGCCCCTGCTGGATGACCGCCACCTCTGGGAAGCCTCCCCTGGCCACCCCCATGCACCACCCTGGGTGGTGACCCTGTCCTGTGCCCCCTGCAGTGCCCCTCAAAGCCTCCATCACACCCCAGTGACAGTGCCCCCCACATGTGCCATGCTTGAACCCCAGGTCAGCCCGCCTCTGGGCCGCTCCTGTTGGTAGCTCCTGAGTGAGCGCGGAGTTTGCAGGCAACCAGGGGGCAGGAAGCAGTGACCCACCCGTGGCCTGGGCAGCGCCCACCTGCTCCCCAGGGCTCTGCACCCCACGCCCGAGATGCTCACCAGGAAGGATCCTGAGCCAGACATCACCTGGGAAGGCAAAAGGCAGCGATTGACAGGCAGATATTGGATACTAACGCTTGCTGTGTAGTCACAGGTCAACGGGAATAAAAGCAGTTCACATGTCCCATAGCAGGGCCCACGCCACCAGGGAGAGGTCTAGAAACATGGTCACTGAAACAGAAATTCGGTAACATCAACGCCAGGTCGGCCCGCTCTGCGTGGGCGCTTGCTGCCTCTGGAAGGTTCCGTGGGCCCATCTGTAAGAGGAAAGGGCTGCCGGCTGGGTGGATGGCCAGGTAAAGGGGCTGGGGGAGCACTAAGCCATTGCTCTTGGAAACTTCTCCCTGTCCCGTACAAGTGGGTGACCTGTGTAATGACCAGGAGGGGCTGTGGGAGGGAGAAGCCGGGACAGGACCCACTGGAAGAAAGGCCCAGCCGCGGCCGGAGGAGCCCTGCTCCATATACACAAGGCACCTAAAGGTGCTACTTATGCAGAAGGAAAAAGCCAAGGGTGTAGCCCTGGAGGTGGGGGGCGCCCAGAGCGTGGCCCAGAGCCCCGAGGAGCTTGGGAAGAGCCTCCAGCCTCCAGGGCGCTATGCGCAGCCCTTGACTGGGGACTTTCTGGAAAACTTTGCGACCGAGCGGAGCGTTTGACCCAGGGCCGGGCGGGAGGACCCATCCTCTGGGCCAAGGTCTGCAGCTCAGGTTTCCTTCCAGGGGCAAAGGGGACACCTGCTGGATGTTAGCCGGGGTGATGAGAGTTTGGTTTAAAAGCCTTGGGCTACTTCAGCGTGGGCTGGGGAGGGAGGCTGGCTGGGGGAGGGCAGGGGATTGAGGGGGAAGGAGTGGAGCCTCCAGAGAGTTCCGGAGGTGCAGCTGCGGCTGTCACCAGCCTGGACGGGCTTCCCTAGCATGCGGCAGTGGGGAGGGGGCAGCGAGGCTCTGGGCTTGCCCTGTGGCCCACCTAGAACCTGATGGGCGTTCTACCCATGGCAGCCAACTTGCTTGCAAAGGGAACGTGGAGGGTGGCTCTTGATAGAGACACAGGTATGGTAAGGAACCAAGATGAGACGGGGCATCCGGTCACAGCCCGCGGTCAGACGGTCGGAGGGCTGTGTGCTGCGCCGGGCGGGGAGGGTGGCAGTTCGCGGGGCCTTGACGGTTGAGTAGGAGTTTTTCCTGGATATAGCTTTTGTTTCTTCAGTTGTTGTCTTGGTTTTGGTTTTCCTTTTTCAGAGCAGGCTGAGGAAGACTGAGGGGAACGTGTTCAAACCAAGTCCTGCTTACGTCATTCCCTGGGGCCTCAGTAACAAGCAGGCGTGTGGCTCCCTGGGGATCTGGCTCCCCCGGGCGTGGCGGGCCCCAGGGGGTGTTGGAAGCGGGTGGTCCTCACCCTGTGGGCCCAGGCAGAACCTGCCGAGCGAGGCTTCTCCCGATGGGGACTGGGGAGGGGGGTGCACGGAATACAGAAAAGTGGGTGTTGCCGCCTAGTTCATTTGACACATGGTAACATGCAGAGCTGCTGGGAGGACACACGTGTGGCAGACACGAGTGAGAGGTGACCGGGCAGCACAAAAAGTCCTCAGAAAAGAGGGAAATGTTCTGCCCCCTAAGTGGGGCGCTGAGGAAGGGGACTGGGGCCACGGGACCTGGAGGGGGAGAGGAGGGGGTCAGGCCACATTTGGGCCCGAGGTTTGCAGGGAAACGTGTCCTGGTGGGGAGACAGGGCAGTTCCTCGGGGGCAGTGAGGGTGGGGACCATCAGAGAGGAGGCCCTCGACCCTCACCCTTTGGATGAGGCAGCGGGGGGCTTAGAGTTTCTCCCTAACTCGGCGTCTGAGCCCCCTGAGCTACCCAGGAGCCCTGGCACTTCACCTGTCCCCCAGGTGGGCGTCTTGGCAGGGTGGTGGCAGGTGGAGCCCCTAAGCAGAGGATGGTTGAGCGTAGCCTGGGGACAGTGGGCGGGCCAGCATCCTGCCCCTAAAGGGGTCTGGGAAGGACACCACCCCACCCCGCCTGCCCCGCGCAAGGGGACAAAGCAGAGGTTGGGGCTGGGGAGGGGGCGGCCTGGGGTGGGCAG